GTAAACTTTCGACGAGATTATTATGCCAAGGATGAGCAAGACGCTCTGTTTGACTATTTGTATTTTAAAAGTTGTCCAATCTTTGTGCTGGACTGTTCGAAACAAAACGAATCTCTGAAGCATTCGACTGTAGATGTTAAGCTGGAAATGGAGTCGATGGAGGCCTTCGAGGCGGGAACGGTTGCTTATTGTCTGATCCTGCACGACGCACTAGTTCAATACAATCCTCTGACCGGGGAAGTGAAAAAACTATAAGTTGTATTTTTTTAATGTATAAATAAAATGTAATGATGAAAATGTTCGTAGTTTTATTATAACCGCCTAAAATGAAGGTGGTGACGCAGGAGCATAAGCTGCCCATTCAAAATCTAGATACTTTTATAACGCCAAATGTGAAGCGCAAAAAGCACGGCGAGTTACTTCCAAATAGCATAAGATGCTTAATCTGTGGACCTTCTAATTGCGGTAAAACAAATACGATGCTCAGTCTGCTTACTGAGCCCAACGGTCTACGCTTTAAACACGTGTACGTCTATTCTAAATCGCTGAATCAGGACAAATATAGGCTTTTGGGGGAAATTCTGAAGCCGATGAAGGATATTGGCTTCTTCACATTTAGCGAGAATGCTGACATTATGGAACCAAATGCGGCTAACTCTAATTCAGTTTTTATTTTTGACGATATCGCTTGTGAAAAACAGGATAACATTAGAGCGTACTTTTCAATGGGGAGGCATAACGCCGTCGACTGTTTCTACTTGGGTCAGACGTATTCTAAAATTCCTAAACAATTGATTCGAGACAATGCTAACTTAATTGTCTTATTCGAACAGGACGATTTGAATTTGCGACACATTTATGAAGATCACGTCGCTCCCATCATAACAATGCAGCTCTTCCGAGAGATGTGCTCGGAAAGTTGGCGAATTCCTTATGGCTTTATGGTGATAAATAAGGACGCGGATGTGCCAAACGGTCGTTTCAGGAAGGGTTTCGATCACTATATAATACCATGAGAACGTGTTTATTATTCAGTTGGAAATAAACAGCTATCAAGACAACAGCTTCCAAAAATAAACAGCTTTCAAATAAACAGCTTATTGAGAAACAGACCCCTGTTCCATTGTATCTGTTCCCTTGTTTTTTATCTGTTTACCTGTTCTGTTGATCATGGATAATAAGGAGATGGCCTTGAAACGGCGAATAGTTCAGGCTCGTAAAGCGATACAGCAAAAGTACAATCGTCTCAAAACGGATCGTTTTATTAAAGAAGTGGAGTTTGTACGAACGTATAAACCACTAATTCAACCGCTTTCCCAGATCGTAAAGAAAATCGAACCGCTGTCATCATCATCATCATCATCGGCTATTGAGACGAAAAAAGAGGAGCCAGAGGACGAAGTATTTACATCACCCCCTAAAAAACCTCAATCTCCTGCAAAAAGAAAGTCACCACAACAACGTACGACCCCTGCGATACCTTATTACTTGCGAGTGAGACGAAGGCCATCTTCCCTTACCGAGATCAGTCCGCTGGCTAGACTTCCATACTTTCAAAAATATCCGCCAACTGATATTAGTCCTATGGTTAGACCTTTTCATCCCACGGCTACTCCATCATTGAGACAGCCGCCATCATTTCTACAGAGTACAGTGATAGGCGAGCATCAACCGGAGGAAGAAGAAGAAGAGTCCTCTATCGCATCAGAATCATCTGCCTCATTACTTGATATGCAAGGTTCGCAAGCCTTTTTGGAACAATACAAACACCTACCACGTATATACGTTGAGCGCATGATAAGAGATACGAGTAATGCAATTGATACCACCTTTGGAATTCATTATAATGTCGAAACGGATAAGTGGAGAATGGGCAAGACGGAGGTGACGATAGATGACGAAGGCAAAAAGTATACGCTTATAATAAAGCCTCTACTGAAGGAGGAGGAAGCGGCGAATAGGGGGCGTGCGAAATCGGGTAGCGGTATTACTCTATTCAAGGAACTCGACCGACCGATCGAATACAAATACTGGAATAGCGTGCATGAATTGATTAGGGATTTGGAGGTTTTATGGGGTGAAAAAATGGCAGGAAACACAGGAGTACGAAATGATATAATATCAATCGTGGAAGAGCTATACGAAGAGGGTTACATACAAAAGCCCACGCAACGATTTTTACGTCAGCTAGTATAAATACCTCCATTCCGTCTTTTTGCTTACATTCGCCATGGATAAATTCGGACGTTCGCATACCCATGCCCAATTTGGAAAACTGCTCAAGAGAAAATTTTCCATTACCGACGATACTATAAATGTGAAAAGTAAGAGACTAAGTAATGTTGAGGATCCTATTGAGCGCCATGATGCTGTAACCTTACAACATTACCTATCAACAAGGCTGGATCTGAACGGAAATCGGTTGATGAATGTGGCCGATCCAGTAGACGACGGCGATGCCATAAATAAAGGATACTTCACATATTATATGCAGATCGCTAAAGCCCCTGTAGATGGTCTTCGCAATTACGTGGAAGTACTAAAGGAAGAGTTGAAAGCGGTCAAAGAAGCCTTGCATAAAGTAATAGAGGATGCAGCAGGTGGTAAACGAGCTACATAAAGCGGCACGCAAAAACTTCCCACGTAGGCGCACCGTTATTAAAGGGTTCGATGATCTTTGGCAAGCAGATTTAGCCGAATTTATACCTTACGCTAAAGAGAATAAAGGCTACAAATACATATTAGTAGTTATCGATTGTTTTTCAAAATATCTGTGGACGAGAGGATTGAAGACTAAAACGGGTGAGGAGGTGACAAAAGCCATACAGGATATTTTCAAAACTACCAAACGGAGACCGAAAAATCTACAAACCGATGCCGGGAAGGAATTCTATAACAAATCATTTAACAAATTGATGGCGCAGAAACGCATAAATCACTATTCCACGTACAGCACAAAGAAAGCTGCCATAGCCGAAAGAACAATTAGGACGATCAAAAATTATTTGTATCGTCAGTTTAGTCTACGTGGAAAGTATGTATGGATTGATGCAATCGAATCAATCACGAGCGAGTACAATAATCGTAAACATCGAACAACGGGGATGAAGCCGATCGAAGTAAAGGGCGACACACATCTGAACGCCTACCACCACATCAAGCTCTTCAACAAGAGATATCGTTTTAATGTTGGCGATGTTGTTCGAATTAGCAAATTTAAATCCATATTTGCGAAAGGATACACACCAAACTGGTCCAGTGAACTCTTCAAAATTGTAAAAGTTCGAATAACCAATCCGGTGACGTATTTATTGGAAGACATGAAAGGAAAATCGATACTAGGAGGATTTTATGAACAAGAACTGCAAAAAGCCAAGTATTCGGATGTATATTTGGTGGAAAAAGTGTTAAAACGTAAGAAAGACAAGGTGTACGTAAAGTGGTGGGGATTAGACGAGAGGTCGTGGATTGATAAAGATAACGTAGTTTTATAAGTTTATTTAATGTATGATGTACTATTACAAATAAAACTAAAATAAACTGTTATATTTTGTTTTATTTTTTACCATACAAAGTTTTTAACAACCACATTTCCCTTTGGTTCATCTTTCATGATTTTTTTAAGGAGCGTAAATGTTCTTTTGTAGTCGCTTAATTGGGTAGAGGGCCAAAATGCGCTATCTGGCCCGCATGTCCATCCCAGCGATGCGTTTGGAACTTCGCTGCCTCTGCGAATGTTCTCCAGTATCCAGTTATAGACTTTTTTATGGCGAGCGTCCTCGTATGGCCTAAATCTGTACTGCACATTTCGCTTTATACAAATATCATACAACATTTCAAGAGCCTTGACGTTCGCATATTCTATGGCCGTACACATGGCATCGTCCATTATGCACAAAAAATTCTTATAATTTTTCACTATGCTATCTACATTAAATTGAGCGTCCTTAACTAAATCCAGGATATACATTCTGATGTGTAAAGGAACTTCAGGTAACAATGCAAGATTATTACTAACACACATTTCACTTAAAATGCTAAATCTGTTTACAAAGTGCCTAACTGTACAGTCAAGTTCTTCTTTCTTGTCAAATAAAAATGTTAGTTTATTGCAACAAACGTTTGTCGATTTGATGCACCAGTTGAAGCACTCGTCGGGTATTACAATGTTTTGCAATATTTGATTAATGATCACATAATTTTCAATTGACCAAATGTCCATTAAAGCACTCTTTAAATGTTTTGTATATATTATGTGAGACGATTGAAATAATTCTCGCTCCAATTGCACTTTTTTATCCGAACGATTTCCGCAACTGTTGCTCATAATCTGAAAAAATAGGCATTCAATTGAAAGATGTTTCGAGGTCGCGAAATATGCGGATTAGGCCAAATTATAGCCCCAAGGCCGCGTATTGATACAATTTAAACTGATAGAACGTTTATCATCGTGAGGACTAAGAACCACCTTATTCTGCCTTATGGTGAACACAGAATGCTTCTGTGACCTAATTAGATATTGATCCCTTTTTACAATGTCATCGTTAAACAAGCAACGTTTGTAATCTTGTAAAGTTATTTCACGAATACTAGCGGCTGTCGAACCTTTTGATTTTTTTAACACCTTGTCGTCCACTCGGTACGCGTACATTTTTGCCCTTAAACCCACGAACTCTAACATTATTTTTCCATTGTTTTCGTCTTTCATCAATCCGGGGACTTTTTTATTGACAGGAGGTATACCAAAGGGATTATTTGGGTTATAACTGGATGTGTCGAATCGATTAATGTTCTCTTTGATTGATTGATATATGTCCGGCACTGCAAAAGAGTATACAAGACTATCAGTGTCGGTGTACAGGAGTTTTGCGCGATCACCGAATTCCCGTAATACATAATTGTAGTGAAAGTCGTAGAGGAAAGTTTTCGATACGTCTAAAACCGTCAACCCCGCATAAATTGGTTTGTTAAGAAATACCTCCAACCGATTCATTTCTATTATCGCGATATCGTCATCATCGAAAAGAGTGCAGCTATGGAAGTTTGGCTTGGAAATATACGCACGAGCGCCATAGCGACCTTCCCACTTTGTCACCAAGCGAACATCTTTATATTTTCTTACATTTTCCATCAGTTTTCCAAAAACGCTATTTACCATTAGCTTATAAAAATTTATTTCAAAATCGTTTGTAGACTGTTTTCTCATACGTGTATTCAATTCGATATATTTTTTTAACCACGCCGATTGTTTGAAACGCAACACACGGTTAATTTTAACAAGTTTCAGTCCATGTTTAATGTAAAGCTTTAAATTTCGGTAGTGTAATACGTAGTTGCGTTTCGGGAACAAAGTAAGCATTAATTTCTTTATTCTAGAGCCGGGAGGACACATGTGTTCGGGGGCCAAAGGAAGGTCGCTATGGGACTCATGTAATTCCTTCGGATAATCAAAATCACAGTCCACAATGTAACCGATATCTGCATCATCGGGATGATTTAATATGTCTAACGATTCAAAATCGTCTACGAAAGAGAACTCCCCATAAGGCAATGCTTCACACATTGTAGCTCCGTAAAGGGAGTTAATATCAAAATACATTAAATAAATCGATTCAAGGTCAGGACGATAGTCGTCATTCATGTATTTGTTGTTCGCCTTCGCGTATCTAGTGGAACATTGAGTGATTCCACCCCTAATACCCTTCTCTACGAACATAACTTGATCGATGTCTGTTAATAGTTCCAATTTAATCTCTGTAATTTTGAGCATGGCATCGAAAGCGAGGCCCGGCGCAGTGTAATAATGAAGAGGATCGAGTTTGTAGGTTTTCAGACAAGTGGCGCGAAAATTTTCAAATACGTCTGCCAAAAGAAGCACGTCAGTTTTCAAATACAAATCCGAGTATTGACCGAGAGTTTGAATAGAAAATACGTTCCAAAGATTTAAAGCATGCTCATAATCTTCGTCATTCACGCCGTCGTTACGCAACGAACTGAAAAATTCATTTTTCGGCGGTAATCGGGTTTCATTTAACTTTTCCCACGAGTCGACATACTCATAGGGAAAAACACCCTTTCGCATGAGCAATTTGAATTCGGCATCGTTGCGACTTTGCGATTTCGCTATAGTTTTTTTGTCGTCTCCTAAGTACGAAGCGAGTTTTTCTATACTGCTGCTCATAAACCTAAAGGAGTCGATAAATCTAAAGTTAATGCTGGTATTTTCCACATATTTCGTAAACGAAATATACTTCTCTTTGTTTAAAGGTAAAAGTTTTATTTGGCCAGGTATAGCGGTTGCAAGTTCGCGGATAATGAAGTGCGCATCGTATCCACTCAGATTATGAAAGACCACGGGGATTGTGTGACTGTCTTGGTAGTTTATATTGCATTGCTGGTGCGCTGGGCCGCGATATTTTGAGCTGAGATGGCAGTGATCGCGACAACGAATCTCATTTTCCAAAAACGGCTTTTCACATATGTGGCAATGAGTGGCGTTCTCGAAATCATTCTGCTGAGCTGCACTCAATTTTTCCATCGGCAAAGGGTTGTTAATCTTTGTATTTGCCCACATAGCAATGGTACGCAACTGACTAATAAACCATTTTACACAATCCGGGCCCCGATACAAAAAAAACTTAGAGAGTGAATCGTCATAAGCACACTTGAAATAAAACGCAATGCTATGAGGTATATGCTTTTGAAATGGGTTAGTGTTTTTCCCCACACCGCAAGAATTGTCACACTTTACCAAAATGCTTTCTATATCAGCATAAATCACAAACGGTACTTTTTCCTTATTCGAATAGTGAGAAAACTGCACAATTTTTTCAGATTCAACGGGCAATCTTAGTGCACATTTATTTATTTGATGGCAGCGGACGGTATGCTTTTCCAGTATGTGCTTCGAAGAGAAATGATTTAAGCATATGTGACAGAAAAATTTGGAATGCTCCCTATTTGATAGTTGCGACGACAATAGGCGAGAGAGATTTTTTATCCAAGCAAAATGGTACGATCTATTACTATCGGTTCGAGTAATGCCATTTTCGGATGACAAGACTAACAAATTGATCGGGTTGGCTCCATTTGCATGATTTCTACTCAACATGAAAGGCAGTACGTTTCTCTTCTCTATGCAGTATAAGTTAATAGCGAGATTATTCAACTTTTCAAACTTCTTTATATCGGTTACTTTAATTGGGAATTGAATAGATCCACGATTCAGAACCGCATCGAAGTGGGGATAGCTACTAGTTCGGTTGGGATTCGATTGCGCCGGATAAAGAGCCGAGACAATTGACCACAGGAAACAACACTTATCGTTATTTTTAACATTCACTACGGCTCTCTTATAAGCTATAAACCGAGGGAGATTAATATATGTGGAAAAGCGTCCCCCCCTAATGGGAACATATTTATTTATGTTTACCTTTAAATACAAAACCTCCCTTAACGCCCACCCCGAATTACATTCTTCGAAACCCCCAAGCTTTGTCTGCAATGGATGATACACCTCTCTTAGATACCACTCTCCGAGATTAGTGCCAATGTCAAGAACCGAATTTTTTGTGGCAAAAGTTTTTATATTGACGTCAAGATTGTTGGGGTTTACAAAGTCACAAGAAAGAGACACATTAACTTTCAACATACTTTGCCTTAACATGGGCCGAATTTTCCGTACAACATTGCCGAATGCTTTCTCTAAGAAAATTAAAGGGTCTTTGAAACCGGTATTTACAATAATACCAGTAAGTAATCTACTTTGAAAGCAAGAATTTAAGGTTTGCCAAATTAGGACTGGCGAATTACGATCACTAGTAGAAGGAGCAGGCGTATGACTTATTCCACAACCGCTTTTTCTCGAAACATCTTTCAATTGTTCGCGTAATGTAACTAAATAGTATCTCAATATAGCCAAATTACTTTCTAGCGTAATGGGATTTTCACTACGACTATCTAAATGAATGTTGTTATCGATAGCATTTTGTAGCAAAGAAATGTTTTCCCTTATTATCGAAATGTGCTTTACAAATTCAGATGTTTTAATAATGCAACAGCTTTTCGGGTTGTCTTAACTATATCACTGCTAAGTCTTGCCAGGGATGTAGACTCCATTGTAATTAGTAGGTACTTACTGTAACTTTAACTCAAGACTGTTAAAATTTACGCCGGATTGAACTCTCCACAGTCACCTTGCGTGTTGATAGTGTTGAACTCGTACTCTCGAAAATCTCCACGAGTGGAAAGGTGAAGGTGTAAGTAACCAAATTAAGGGCAATTATCGCCTTATATAGACAAAGTGTTCAAGGTCACCTTTTGCGCAAGACTGTAAGCAACTAGTAGGTGTTCAAAAGCTGACAATGCAGTTATTTGATTCCGGAAATCATACGATGTGTTGTTCTCACTTATTAAATATATCCCTCTTTAGTATTTTGCAAACGATAACAGAGAGTTTGTAATAGTAGAAATTTCCTTCCGTTTGTCAGTTCTATCGTCGTCGCGCAACAGAATTAACACAATTACAATGTCGTCACGTAAATCCAAACTATCATTGAAAAAACCGGCACCAACTAACATTCTACAGAACATGTTAGAAAGCAACAAAGTGGGGAACAGTAGTACTTGCACCGATAATAATCTGTTCCCCCACTCGCCGAAAAAAGTGGTACCCGGTAACAATAAACCGTTCCCGGCGGCGCCGTTTATGGATGGTGACCAATGTAGTGTCATCACCATCCATTCGGATAATTCAACAGTCCAGTAAGTATCATTAATTGTGCCCTTGATTTTATGTAGCAATGATAATTTGTTATAGAACTCCTGCCAACCTGTGGGAGAATTTTGATGTGGAATTAGTGATGGCCCAATTAGACGGAGGTGACGCTGCGGACCATTTATACTCCAGCGAACGGTTAGTATAAAAGTTTATGTTTAATAATAATAATAATAATTAATGTTGGAAAGTACATGTTTCAAGAACACACCTATTTCTTTGTAGAGTTGTCCCAACGCCACATTTGTCAGAGCAGCAGAAGTCGCCCACTCCACCACCAGAATTTCGAGCTCCTCTTCCACCTCTAGAGCAGGCCGGAAAGTCCGAAGACGAACCGGTCGATCCCAGGGTGTGTGCGAAGAGACGGTAAGTTGTTAAAAAAAATGAAATCGAATATAACTAAAAATTTGTTTCATCGTTACAGGCGCAAATGTGGCGAGAAAAATTTAGAAGCCCTGCTGAAAATTCAAGGGCAGGAGGCGGGGTACACACCTGAGATGCCGTCCACTTCGGCGGTTCCAATTCCTGCAGCGCGGGAGATTGCTTCCCAGGCGCACCAACTTCTGCAGAAAATGCTGCAGAAGTATGCCATCCAACTGCAAGAAACGCAGGACAAAACCTCTCAATTGGAACGTCAAGTGGAGGCGTCCCGGATGGAGGAAAGAAAAATTGAAGGGGACATGCGGTACATTTTAAGCTTTGTTAATTTTTGTGGTAGGAAATAGTCTATATATAGTTGTAATAAATTAAATTGTTGTAAGATAGTTTTAATAAATAAAAGGTTGTAAGATAATTGTCGTTTACATTGAACAAAAAAAAATTGTTCACATCACCTGCTAATAAAGAAATGTGACATTGGAAAAAGTATGCAACCAAAAGTGCATAACGTAGTGTGATTAGTTGCATAAGTGTAACTTTGCACAATGCAATGGGTTAAGTAGATATGTAAAGTGAGTTGCATTATAATGGAAAAGCGTGTGTAGTAAGTAAAGGTGGACGTCGATAGAGAATAAGATGTACGTCCGTAAGTAGCGAAAGAGATGCAAAACGAGTTGATATGGTATGGTACGTTACCCAGGGGTGGTGGGGGTAGAGGGGAAGGGTTAACAATAAGTTCAAAAATTTTGCGCTCCTGGAATTTTTAAATTTGTCGTGGGTTCTATGCAGTTTAAAAATTTTTCTCAAAGGCAAATGCATTTTATAAGAAGTGTTTTATCTATTGGAAGTATAATTTTCCAAAAATTTCAATGCATTAACCGCAAAATGAGGTCCTCTACATATTACCGAAAAGTGCCGTGAAAATTTAATTTGTACTTACACATTTGCACTTAAGAAAAGCTACATTTACGTATTTTGGAATTTTTAAACTGATAAATACACCCAAAACAATTTTTTCACGAATAACGGTAGTAAAATTCAAAGCGCGTTTCCGCAGCTGACCAAAGAATGAACTTCGTTCCCGCGCGCCGGATATGCAGTTGCGGGTTGAATATCTTTTTATCGCGCGTTTAAATTCTGTGCGATGCACTTTTTCTATGCATAATCTTTTCTAGGTACGATGTTATAGAAATTAGGTCAAACAAATACGTGTGCATGAGACAATTTCACGCTTAATATTTTTTTAGAGAAAACTCAACATGAAAAATTGCACATATTTGATTCGGGTTCATTTACAATAACGTCGCCGCATTTTTTCGTTATGTATTTAATAATAACGATTATCATAGATGTGTTAGTGCCAAAAACATTGCATTCGTAGGTAATTCGACGTTTTAAGAATAGCTAATTAGTTGTAGATGCAAATTAATGCGCACCATTGGAAGTGCAGTAGATGCGCGTTTTATTCATTTTGCTTTACGAGAAGTTCCTAGAGCTAAAATTAATAATTCCCATTGAGCGTAAAATGCCTATTATTTGCGTTTTATGTCTATTTAAATGTACGCCTCACCTACATGATTAATTAGGATGTCATTTATATTAAAGGTTTTTGGTATAAAATTTTATAATCGATCAATCGAACACATAATCAATTAGAAATTATGATTTGCATTCGAATGCATAAGAAACTGGCCTTTGTATTTAATATTTTTATTATTTGCTAGGGTAAATGGACCAGTTCACTTGTCAAGTAAAATAAGAAATACAATGTATACAAATCTTTATTTTCCTCTATCAATAAGTACGTCAAGTAGGTACATTTAGGTTCATTTAAGCGACGCGTCGTAATTCATAATTCTTGCTTATTAGCTTGAACACACTTAATTTTTTCGGCATTCTCCTGTATTGCGCGTTGGACTTCTTGGCTTTAGTTGTATTTTATTCAATTTTCGCTGTACATCTAGCACTTCTAAATCCCACTTCAACTTTTTAATTTTTCTTAGTAAATCGTCTATTCCTTGTCTCTGTCTGCTCACTTTCGCAGTTATCCTATTTACTTTTGACATCCTTACTGGTACCTATTCTTTATGAATATGACTTCTACGGTGCTCTGCTAAACCCTTTATACGCACCATTACCCAAGAAATAAACCACGATCGAGTTACAACCTTCAATGAGCATAGTTCAGAACCACTTTAGTTTTCACAATCGACCTGTTACCTACGAGGCAACGACTCAAGGTCCTGCTTGACCCAAGTTCAGAACCATTTGACCTTGACGTTAGCTCATAACCACTTTAGTTCAGGCAAGAACCGCCGTCTACGTTTGACCTTTCAGTGACATTGATTTTAGCAGTTTCAAACCCACGTCCACGTTTCACCTTCAGTGACATTGATTTTAGCAGAGTTTCAAACCCACGTCCACGTTTCATCTTCAGTGACATTGATTTAGCAGAGTTTCAAACCCACGTCTACGTTTGACTTGCCAGTGACATTTATTTAGCAGAGTTTCAAACCCACGTCTACGTTTGACCTTCCAGTGACATTGATTTTGAACCGGCTATACTATACTACTATCATAAGCACATTTTAGATAAAAAGCAATGCTAAAGGGTATATGCTTTTGAAACAGTTTAGTGTTTCTATTTTCATTGCAAAGGTCATCACATTTCATCAAAATGCTTTCAATATCAGCATAAATAGCAAACGGCACCTTTTCCTTATTAGAAAAGTGGGAAAACTGTAAAAAATTTTCATCGTAACTAGGCAATCTCACTGCACATTTATTTACCTGATGACAACGAACGGTGTGCTTATCCAAGAGCATATTAGAAGAGAAGTGGTTCAAGCAAATGTTACAAAAAAATTTTGAATGGCAATGATTTGACAATTGCGAGGACAATAAACGCGATAAATTTTTAATCCAGGCAAAATGGTAATTTGTACGATTAGCAGAACGATTAACGGTTGAATCAGACGACAACACCAATAAATTTATTGTCACGGTAGCGTTTTCGTGGTTCGTACTTAACATGAAAGGGAGTACGCTCCTCCTATCCAAACAATATAAATTAATTGCGAGGTTATTTAGTCGCTCAAATTTTTTTATGTCGGTCAGTTTAATGGGAAATTGAATAGATCTACGATTTAGCACTTCATCAAAATGAGGATAATTATAGGTTTTGTCGGCATTTGATAGCGCGGGGTACAAGGCCGAGACCACGGACCATAAGAAGCAATATTGATCATTATTCTTTACATTAATAATAGCTCTTTTAAGAGCGAGAAAACGAGGTAATTTGACATAAGTGGAGAACTTTCCTACTCTAATAGGGACATATTTATTTATGTTAACTTTTAAATAGAGAATTTGGCTCAAAGCCCACCCAGAATCACATTCTTCGAATGATCCAAGCTTCGTTTGCAATCTATCAATCACCTCAAACTCGTACCATTCTCTCAGATTGGTTCCAATATCTATGACGGAGTTTCTAGTTGCAAAAGTTTTTAAGTCAACATTAAGGTTTTGGGGATTAATAAAATCGCAAGCAAGTATCACGTTAACTTTTAACATTGAGCTCTTCAATAGCTCGCGCAATTTTCGTAGAACTATATCATAGGCACGATGTAAAAATATTAAGGGATCTTTGTCTCTTAAATTGACAATAATTCCAGTAAGAATTCTCCCTTGAAAAGAAGAATGTAGAGGATGCCATACGAGATTAGGGAAATGGGAGGTAGTAGCACCATCGGTTGCGGAAGCACTAATTCCACAACCCTCTTTTTTGGATACACTTCGTAATTTATGGTGTAACAGAGCCAAATAGAATTTAAGTATCCCTAAATTAGCTTCAAGCCTAATAGGGTTTTCATTGGGACTATCTAAATGAATCCTATTGGTAATTGCGTTTTCTACTATACTTATATTATTACGTAAGATCACAAGGTGTCTAGAGATTTCCGATTTGCTCTTTATTAATTTGACAGCGTGTCGTGTAAGTCGAACTATGTCACTGCTAAGGGACGCCACAGACGTAGTCGAAGCTGTCGACATACTTACACAAAAACTCAAAATTATCCAAGTGCAAGCAACGAGTAAGTTGGTATCAAATTGGTATCGATTCGCGATCACCGACACTGTACGGAATTGCTTGTGAGTACGAGCGTAGCACCAACCCAGTAACAACAACAAGATATGTATTCCGCACAAATCGGGAGACGCAATTATTTGAATTAACGACAATCGATTCCTTTTATATACAGCAACTGCTCATGATGAAGGACAAATGCAAGAGGTCAAACAACCTGAATAAATGCTACGTTGCATTTTGTTATCTCTTCCGGAGAAATTATGTGCTATCTCTCTCATTCCCATGAGTTCTGCAAACGTTCGCAAAAATTTTATAATAAATACTAGAAATAGTTGACGCAATTTATTCAGTTAACACGCGACCGCGATCATGTCTCTACCTCCTAAGAAAACGTCGAAAATTTCATTATCGATGAAAAAAAAGATCACAACCCCGAAAACTGTGCGATTTGCCCCACCAACAAAGAAAGCGCAAATCTTAAGTGATGTGGTAGTGGTGCAACCCTCAACAGCAACAACAAGTTGCCTGCATATAAAGCAGCAACCACCGCCGTTGCTACCGTTGAGATCCATGGCGGGGCCGAGCTTACCACCCCTATTAGATGATCAATATTCAATCATAACGATTCATTCCGATGACGAGTCTGGGGCGCGACAAACTGAAATACGGTAAAATACATTTTTTACATCTGCAATTATTATAGATCGAATTGATTCCTTCGTGTGAATACTATAATTTCATGTTTTATTACAGCGCGGTGACTATAGAGGATCATCAGTTGTCGCAGCTGATGGATGAGTTGGATGCTACTAGTACGGTGCAACAAAATCGGTAAATATTCTTCAGTTGTATTGCTATAGTAGAAGATCCCATGCAAATTAGTATGTAAGTATTAACGAGCGATTATATTTGTTGCAGAGTGTATCCGCCTCAAATTAGATCACCCTCGCCAACTCATCCACCACCAGCCGCATTGCTAACATCAAAGTGGCCCCAAAATGAACAAACGTAAGTTCAGTACAATATGTGAAATACATACTTCTAATGCTGTGTTCTTTTTATGCAGTACGACTTCGACGAGTATCGCCCTTACAAGGAGCCCTGGGGGTAAGAGCCTGGAAACCATGCTGCAGGTATACGGCGTGGGAAAACGACTAGAGGACGATGAAGATAATAATATCTTCATGGATTTCCCCACAGCAGCGACACCGAAGCAGGTAGCGCAGGCTACATATGCGCGCCTGCTAAAAATGGTGCCAATTTACGAACGCCGTATGCTTGAAGCTAGGGACACCACCCAGCGGCTCAGCGTGGAGTTGGCGGCTTCACGCGAAAATGAAGCAGCGATACAGGGGGAGGTGGAGTATATCAATAAGTTAATGACATTTTTAGTGAATAATTTGTAAATAGATAATAATAAAATTATAGTAATAAAGGGTTATAGTATATGTTCGTTGTCATTTCCATTCACACACACCAAAAGGGAAGATTGCTTAATTTTTTCAGCGTAGGTGAAAAACCTCGAAGAATATGTGGCAAAAGTTGCGCATGAGAAGTTAGAACAATTGTCTAACCATAAGGTGTAGTTATTGTAATTTGTATGTGTTAATTAACTACATACGTGTAATTAATAAAAAAGAGATGCAAAAGGAGTTGAAGTGGTTGCTAAATCGGAGAATCGCCGGGTTGGGTGGCTTGCGGGGCGTGGAGGAGGCACAAAAACCGCACTTGCTGCTCTTAAAATTCAAATTTTTCGTGGTTTCTTTTAACAAAAAAATATTTTTGTGACTAAATTCGGAAAGTGTATACTATCTGTCATCGAATGATATAAACAAACAGTGTAGAATTTGAGGAATTTCAGCCAAAAAGAGTAATTACAGTTATTTGTTAGGTGCGCTTGCATATGTGCGAAAAAAATGGATAAATTATTCCGCTATGGAGGGTTGCTTTTTCTAATAGGTACGTAGGAACTCATTTTCTGCTAATTGTTAAATTGGAAATTGTATTAAGACTGTAGGTACGTTATTGTTTCCCAATTTACAGGTCTTTTATTATAGATTCGCGCGCTCGAGATTGCAGGTTCATTACCGTCTTATCGCAGAAATTCTTGGAACTTTGACGATTTCCTTATTCTAATAAAAAATGCAGTTTATGTTCATATCGCGTATTTTAGCGAAATCAGTTTTAAACGAATCCCAATTTTAATGATTTGGTTAGCACACGCTCCCTAGTCGTAATGAAGCGATCAATACGGACAATGAACGATCGATACTATTTGGAAAATTTCATTCAGCTTTACATTCAGTAGAAATTGTAATAATACAGCAAATACGGTACACGAAACTATTTCCTATTACGTTGCTATTGAAAAATATTTCGTTTTCGATGCATTCACGATACTTTTAAATCTGTCAAGCGAATTGTGATTCCAAATAAATAATTATTTTACGTATTATGAAGCTCGATTACAGTTATTTGTTAGGTATACGCTTGCATGTTTTGCGAAAATGTTCCGCTTCAAAATGAGCGGTGCATACTTATTTTTTGCTAATGGATAAATTGAGAATTGCATTATTACTGTACATATTCTTTCCCAATTTGCAGGTGATAAGTTCTATTTTAGAATCTCGCGCGCGCTCGTGTTCAGTAACCTCTAATCGCAGAAAGAATTTCCACTTTCCTGGGAACTTTGTCGACTTCCTTATTCTAATAAACTAGCAGTTTTAATGTTGACATGGCGTATTTCGCGAAATCAGCCTATCGGTATTATAAAGTTTTAAACGAATGGTATTTAACCTTAATTATTCTTTTGGTTAATTTACCAAAGGGACAAACACACACGCAGCCCAGTTTGCACTCATGGAGCAATCAAAACGGCTCGAAAAAAATTCATACAGCTACAGAAATTGTAAGCAAATACGGTGCACCACATTATTGCTAATTTTGTTGCCCTTGAAAGAATTGTTTTAGTTTTTTAACGCATTTCCAATACTTCGATTGTTTCAATTAATATTGATTTTACTTATAGTGCGATCGATAAATAATAATCGATACCTCTAAACATTCTCTCTGCTGAGTTGAGAAATATACCTACTACATTTTAAAGAGAAATTCTAAGAATAAAACCATTTCAACGCTGCCGACCACTCTTTATTAATTACTTCATTATAAAAAATATATACGAGGAAAACCTGCCCATTTGTGGCTGGATTCCTTCTCCTCCTCCTGCTAACTAAGTTGGACCGATTTTAGTTTGCGCTGCACTCCAAAAACTTCCAAATCCCATTTAAGCTTTTTTATTTCTCCCAGCAAATTTTCTAGCCGTTTTCGCCTCTCATGTGCCTTGAGTGTTATGTTAACTGATGTATGTCTTTTTATAATTACTTTTGTCATCTTGCTCGTCGTTCGAATGAAGTAAACTTCATCCAGGCGAGCACTTTATATATGTTCATTAGCCAAACTACGAACCTATCCTGTTAACAAACCTTAACACTTAATAATCAAAAGCCCATTAGTTGTGCAAGTGCAATAATCTTTAAACCACAATAAAGGTTAATGCCATATTGAGGTTAATACACTTTAAGCAGCACGAGTTTAAACGACACGACACGAAGGTTAATACACTTTAAGCACAAGTTTACCGACCCGAAACGAAGGCAATGCCCTTTTAGTAATCTCAAGGTCATATTTAGAAACGGCTATAACATACTACTGCATGATTAATCAAACAATTCAACGGCATTACTATTATACCATAGAGATGTACACGATTTTCACTAACGAAAAACAGCTCGCTTTAGGAAACACGACTTTTAATCCGGCTAATATTCAATAGCACTGATCTTTGAACTCTTTGAAATCGATTGTAGAAGGTTTGACATCGGTCTCTTTTCGGTCTCGAGTTGAACGGACAGATAGATTGGCCGACAAAGCAATTGCATAAGGGAATTTTTTTTCTTTTGTAAAATTCCCCTAAAATCCCGTAGATATGATTACTTCATTACTGCATTGTTGTGTAATTTCGGTGGTGCACCATTATGATTCACTTTACTTGTTTACTAATTTGAAATTTATGAATAATGCAAATGCCGGCTTTATTGCTACAGTAAATCAGGTGCTTTTAATATTACATGCTAAAAGGCAAAATGGGCAAGTGGCATTTTAACATTTTGATTAAGAAAGATTGAAACGAGAAACGAAAAAAACAATTCAATTTATCTTAAAAGGCTTAATATACATGTAAAACATTCAGAAAGAAGCTAATTCAATACGTACTTCCATTAACGTTAATTTAAACTTTGAAGAACGTCTTTATATAAATAATGTACCCGTTTAAATTTGCAAAGCGCAAAGTAGTCTGAGAACTGCTTAATTCAACATTCTTTTAAACTGGGGATGCTACGTATACACTCTATGCACTTTAAGTAAGAGAAAATAATTTAATGGGGAAATTTTACAGGCGTCTGTTACTTCTTACTAATTTATGAATTGCAGGCAAGATATTTCGAGAAAATAAACTCAATTGTCTATGAGTGTTTTTAATTTTCTTTCAAAAGTAGGTAGTTCTCCAACGTAGACTCCATTTAAAAGCTTCATGGTCCTACAGAAATTTAAATTGTATTAAGCGGTAGAGCAAAGCGATGCCAAGCTTTTGAGGGGAGTCAACGGTGTCTGTCTGTCTGTCTGTCTGTGAACACGATGACTGCCAAAAGCTTGGGCTGCTACGGTTCAAACACAGTTGACCTATACGAGTATATCATATGTAACAAGTGGATCAATTCCAATGACCCCCTAGGATCACACCGCTCGGCCGCTTTTCTGGATCCGCTTTTTGTATATATTGTTAACAATATATTAAGTAATTGGGAATTGGTAGACTTGTACGTCATGCTGGTACCGCAAATATAGCATACACTGTGTCTAAGATACGGATCCTTAGAAGACACGAAGGTGGCCAAATTAGGATAAAGTTGCGCAATTAAATACTTATCATCATGCTGTAAAGGAAACTAGAAAATTCCGATTACTTCCGAAGATATTCCAGAAAAACCGAAATTTGCCGATTTCGTTTTTACTTTTTTCTGATGGTATTTAAACATACAAAAAAATAAAAACCACGGTTTACGGTCACTGAATTAGTTGGCATATCTAAATTGTAACTACGAGTGGGATTTCCCGCGCAAGCCTGAGCGCATTCTGTGCTCTTCTGCATATTGTTTCTAGCGATTCACTTTGTCGTTGTGTATAGTTCGATGTTTGGCGGCCATTTGCTAAACACGTGATTATCTTGTCACCTCGCTTGTCACCAACATTATCACAATGCAAATTAAAGTTTAACTTTCGATCAATAAAACAACCAAGTAGATTGAGAGCTGGGGTGTTACTATCGGAAATATCAATATCCTTTAATGAGAATGGGAAAATATTGGTTTTACCTTCGTTCATCTTCACTTCACTATAGTTACCTCTGAGAAAAGTGAAAATTTAGAAAAATTATAAAGTGAATAGTTTAATAATTTTTTAAAATTTGCACTTTTCTCGAAAAGTAAGCATCATAGAGAAAAATGTTAAATAAGTCATTTTTTTCCGTAGCCAGCTAGCTCTCCGTCTATTATGAGTTAGTATTTGGCAAAACGTGTAACATACTCACCAACATTGATACAGCTTTATAACTATGCATTTCCTGTTATGCGTATAAACGTTTGTTAGGTATATCACCCGGTTCATGGAACGAAAATGAAAGGTAGGATTGTAGTTGGCCTGTGTATGTTCTGCTCTCTGTAAGTTGTCAAACGGCAGGACGTGTTAGTTTCCACATAGAAGTGTTATACAAACAAACCTTTATTAAAATCAGGTCGCCTCAGCAGTCACACGAATTCCCCTGCGTCACTAAAGTGGAAGAATGTCATAATTAATGTATTAGTTAATGTTTTTATATGATTTAATGTAGTTAAGCTTCCCGGGTTTCTTTTCAATTCATCGGTACACGTACCTTTCATTTTAGTACACGTCTATACCCGCTCATAAAGGTTATGGCTTGCTCTCAGTCTCGAACACAACAACTTCAAAGGCACTCAAAATTCGTTGGTAACAACCCGCTAAGTATTTTGTAATTAATGAATTTATAATAAATATTTTCATGAACTTTTTGGTGTACATTAATGGACAGTGACAAATTACATAAATCCATTATGGTCACGTTGGAGGGAGGAAAGAATACAATCCATCTACTATAGCCGTAGAAACTAATGCATGTTACATTTGCCATTAGTTTTCTTAACACGGTCGAAGCCAATTCACACAAGTCCTCCTTTTGTGCCCAGGCAACATTTTGCTTCTACTCTCTACAGCTTCATTGCAATGCAAAGGCAAAATGATGATTTCGTTTCCAACCTCTCCCCTCTACTTACATTAATTAATCGGAGATAATACCCTTAGTTTTAATTCTTATACAATGTACTGGTGTAGCAGACATTCTAACTCAGATTCTCATCATATTACACTGACATTTTACAATAGAGTATTTCATTCCATTGGAAATGCAAGCATTGGAGGATAGCCACTAGATACTCCTCGTGGATTTCAAAGGTGTCTTTAAGAAATTTCCTTTCGCTCTCAAATCTATTTGGTAATATTTGATCTATTCATGAGAAGATTTTTTGGGTATTTTTAACATTCGTTACAAAATATCGTTGAGAAACCAAATCCC